GCTAAAATTACTACTGGGACATATATTGGTATGGTATATTACTACTGGGACATTATTTGGAGCAAAACCAAAATTATTACTGTCGAAACCTCTGAAGCTGAAAGGTGATTAACTAATTTTCCTCAGAGAAAGTCTGCATTTCTCATTTAGGAGTGAGAATGTTGGTTCCCATAAGCTAGGGCTTCCAGCATTAATACTTACATACACATGGGTATTTATTATGGTGTGGAATAGTTTGGATACCTGTATTATACTTCCTTCTTTTCATTCCAGTGCAAAAATCTGTATGTTCCAACGAATCATGTTGATTTAAGTATATCCTATGTGGTGCTTTGGAAAGTACAGGCTATCAAAATGCAAAATTATCTGGAATAGACTATTGTAAAGGAAAACACTTCTATACTTTTTTCTAACAATGCAGAAGTGTAATGGTTTGAGAGCCCCAAAATCCAATTCTCGAGTCCAAATCCCCCTCCCACATCTCACCCCAGTGTGAGATGAGTTTTCCGGACACCACACAAGACTCAAAATGGGGGAAAGGGATTATATTACAATGACTTTACAAATAAACATCATAATACATCATATACAATTTTAACTATCTTTTCTATCATAAAGCAGTATTTACAATGGATCAAATCTCTTCTTCCTCCAAATAAAAGTCCAGGAGGGAAGAAGGAAGAGATCCTTTCCACTCTCAGAGCAGCAGTGTCTCTAGGGCAGCAGGCTTTCTTCTTCCATGCAGCAGCTGTAGCTGGATCTCTGCCAGTACACACGAGGGGGGTCTCCAAGCCCCTCTTGGCCCTTTGACTCCAAACGAGGGTCTTTTTTTCTTCCGTGGGCTGTGTTCACCAGGACAAAGGTCACTTCACCACGTCATATCAATGAAGTACAGGAGCCTTCGTGACAGTCCCTATCTTCAGGGGATTCAAGCCCCCTTGCAGAGCTCTCGTGCTCTGTCTCTGGCCGTCCCGGTCCAGCTCTGGGAAGCCTTGAGCTTTTCAGCTCCTCTCTTTTCGGTGCTGTAGCACTCTAAGACTCTTCTCAAGTAAGAGTCCATCTCATTCCTCCTAGGAGGGGTCTCAAAAGGAGTTTGGGGGTTTTGGTTTTCAGTTCTTACCCAAACTCTGTCTCTGGAGGGCTTAGTCCTGCTCTCTCTCTCTCTCCATTAGAGATCTCTGTGTATTCCTTGGCTGCATGCCTGTTTGCTGCTCCTTATCTTCTGCTGGCTCTCTGCCTCTGTTTCCGTACGCTGCTCCTGCTGCTGCTCACGGTGGAGGAGAAAAAACTCCCAGCTTCTCAGTCACAGACCTCAGTCCAGCTTAACACTGTTTCCAAGTTTCTATGGCCCCGGCTGGGGGGCTGTGGCCCCCCAGAGGGGCTCCTGCCCCTTCAGCTCGTGGCTTTCACAACATGGCCACTCTCTCCAATCACTGCTACAACTACCTTCTTTTCCAGTCTGGGTGATATGTTTATATTTTGCAGGAGCGCTCATTGGCTCAACCCCAAGGGTAACCACCCCCTGGGGGGTTACCATTTTATAACTTCAGGGGGGCAAAACTGCTTTTTCCCCCACCACAACATTGAAAAAAAATTGCAGTTATATATAAAAGCTTTCTTAACTGCTTAGTAAAATACCTTATTTAAATAAGTATATTTAGTAACTAGTCTGGCTGCTTGTTCTTTGTCATTATGTTAAGAATTCACTTTAGCAAGAGACAAACTTAAATGCAAACGCTTGAGTTTGGCAGTGGTTAGGTCAAAACATTTAAGTCCTTAACTAAATGGAACAGAGACAAAAAAAATTACATGAGTGAAGAGAAAAAAAATCCATCAGCTCAACTTAATTTTACAAAATACTGCTGAATTCCTTCATGTTAATTTTTAATGACACTTCAGAAAGGAGGGTAGGACTTCAGTCAGGGGTCTGACAAGCTTGTCATTTGCAAATAAATCAAAAGATAGTTATTACAACAGCAAGAACCAGTGAATGATATAGTTTTGTTATTCTTTGATGGGCCCGACACTCAAGTCCTCTATTAGAAATGAATGTATTCAAGAGGTTCTGCATTAAGAACACAAACAATTAAGGGCACTTCAGACGCTTTTCTAAGAGCTGCCATAGAGCTCTGAGGACTTTCATGAGCGATGCAGGCTTCTGTAGTTTGCTTTACGAGGAACCAAAGAACATGGGTGATTAGTCATGTTTGTCTACGTTTGAGCAGCTTTCTGCAAAATTTCCTTTGTTTATTCATTCTTCTGACTTCTTTATATGTCTGGAGATCAGTAGTTAGATAATAGTTTTATTATATTGGGAGGCCTCTAGGAATAGGCCATAAGTACCTTTATTTTAAGACTCAGATTCATGAGCCCCAATTCCGGGGGCTTACTCTAATGACACGAGTTACTGATGTCTAGTCTTGATTAATGAAACTCCTTGACTCTTTCAGAAAGAGGTTTTGCTTTCAAGAGTGAATATAGACACACACACATGCTTATGCCTGTATATTCAAAGGTATCTCGTCTTAAAAAGTGAATGCTTTTTGAACAGTTAGATTTATATTCAAAGTAACAAATATTCCTTTTTCTCAATTCTGAAAACAATCTCTTGCAATTCTGGATTGGCAAGATGAGGTGAATTGTGCATTAAAACCTCACTTTCACAACTTACTAGACAACAAATATTTTTTAACATGTTAGTGAATAAGAATAGTTCTTACTAAACATTTGATGGCAGGAAACAGGAGATGTATGAAATTCCATAATGGATAAATAATTTTAAGTACCTTATTTACATGTGTGAAATAATTCTAGTAGGCAGACTGCCTTCTAATGTAAGCATACTTTTGTTATGATGTTTAGGATAGCCTCTTCAGTGTAGATGTCTCTTAGCTGGCACCTGTAACAGGGTCAAGAAATCCCAAAATAAACTTATTTTATGGCGTGTTCATACAAGTTTACCTAGCACTGTGGGTGAATTAAGGTTGCTGTTCATATATGATCATCAATGATGTCCAGCTTTGGTAAAGACGAAATAAGAAGGGTACTATTTTTTTCTGTTCTGATATGAAGTCAGGCATGATAGTACTGAGACAATAATTTTAAACTAAGAGTGATGTGGAAAGGGTTGATTATACCCTCTGTTTTAGAAAATAAGTAAATAAAATCTAATTAGGCAGTTTTGGGACTGGTAATTATCACGTGATACTGCATTCTTTTGCTTACTCTGTGGTGTGTGTGCTATGTTATTGCAGTGTTATTATAGTGAAGCTCAGATATTTGGGACTTGGGGAGAAAAACCCAATGATGTGGACAACTTCCATGTTTTATAGGGTTAGAGTTTTTTCCTCTGGCCTCCAATTGGGAGGTCTGGAGACACACAATCTTTAACGCTGCTGATGCTTTTGAGAAAGCATGCAGGATCACTCTTGAGGAGAAAAGACAACACAGAAAGATTCGTGCCTTGCAGAATATACCTCCTAAGGAGTCTTTCTGCTGTGCCTTTTGCAACCAGATGTGCCTGTCTCTCAGAATTGTTTTCCATAGCTGACTTACCCTGCTTTCTGGAGAGATATAGTAGGTATGTGGAAAAATACCCTTGAGTACATGTGCTTTTTTGTTCTTGTTAATAGAGAAGCACCAACAGATTTGGTAATAGTTAAGTCTGATAACTGATAATAGTTAAGCTGGTAACTTCCTAGTATTGACTTTGCTAGTAGGTATGTAGTTCTAGTACTAAAGGCTAAACATGGAATTATGGATATTTTATGGTCGTGAAGCAGAATATAAATAAATCACTGTGGTACTCTGTGCAATTATAGATGTTTAAGTTGATAATATATGCGTGTTCCTCTTGTTGCAGGGAGGAAAAGGTTTGCTCTAAAGTAACTGTTGCTTCATTGTCCTTAGTTAAGGAAAACCTGTTTATTCTAGGAAGAAACTATCCCAGAACTGCAAAACTTGAGTGGTTGTGTCAAATACCAGTCTTTGGTCAGGTGGAGTGGTTCATGTCAGAAAGTAGTGGTGTTTTACAAGTCTCACGAGTCTGGACACTAGATGCTATCCTGTATTTTCCCAGTGTCTGTCAGAGGTCGGGAAAGAGGTGTTAAAGCTTGCTGACTTAGATCCCAAATCACCTGTCTGCTGAAACATAAAAGGAGAGGGTTTTGTATACTAATTATTGTGTGACTGATCTATAAGGATCAACACATCAGCGTCTTCTAAAAAAGCTCAGGATGATGGGAAGGTTCAGGAAAGGGCTTGGCAGAAGAGTGACTTCTTTAAGTGAGTTTATCTTTGCTCAGGTTTAATACTTGTCATTTCATGGAAGGCCTGATGTTCACAGCAGTGACCTCTTGTCTAACCCCCAGCAAACCAAGAAATATCTTTATGGGTTAATGCTATCACATTTTCTGATCTAATTTTTTCTTCTCTGCAATATTTTAATTCTCTTTCAATATGGATTTTTGAAGTCTGTACTTTTTGTCTCCGTTCTTCCTTAGTTCTGTTTTGGTATTTCTTTCATATGCCTGATGGTGTGTTTCTCTCAGAAAAAATAATTTTTCCTTCTAATAGGCAGATAAAATTGATCATGAAAAAAGTATTTTTCTTCCATACCTGTTGCCTTCATGTTATGCTGCTTGATAATTTGAGTAATAATAAATTTACCCTTTAAAAGGCTTTAACTGGGACTTAACGGATTTCAAAAATGCTCTTCTTGTTAATGAACTTTATACAAGGACCAGATTTGTGCCCAAATATATATATCTGTGTATACAGATTAGGTGCTTTAGACATGGCAGACGTCCTAGAGTAGCTAACTAAATCTCTTTCCTCATCTGGTCTTATATATTAAGTATTTACATTTGCAGTAGTATGAAAAATGGGGATTTTTTTGTTACTTTTTTCACTGTCTGAACTTAATGTAATCCTGAGTACCAGCTAATGTATGTCAAAACCCCTAAACCACAGTTTTTAATCAAAATACTTTTCCTCTGTAGACAGAAATCGCCAAGAGATTGAATACAATTTGTGCACAAGTCATCCCATTTTTGTCTCAGGAAGTAAGTAAAACTGTTCAGCTGTTAAAGTGCAATTATGTTGTTTTTCTGTTTGCAAATTAGCTAGTTTTAAGATGTTAATTTCATCACAATACACAAGTGTAAGGAACATCTGTTAGAGCTGAAGTGTGCAAACCCCCTGCTAACAAATCTGTGTTCAAACTGATGAGAATGGCTCAGCCTCATTCATTGCCTGAGGGAGAGTGGGAGTCTGTAAAATAGTACCAATACGAGAAAATGCTTTCATTTCTAATCATGGTGATTGCTTATTAGATATTCAATTGTCAAACGTTTGTCTAGTGAAATAAACATGCTTAACTTCTCTGTACAATTTGTATCAAACTTAAGTGTAAAGGTGAGTATTTAGCTAAGTTGCAAAACACTGTTTAAGGTTATAAACCTACATATGATCTGAATGACTGTGATTTTAGCATATTGTGGGCAGCTGCTGTTATGTTTTGAAGCTTGTTATTTTCAAACTCTACAGTTGAGTGTTTGTTATTCTTGAGTTCAGTGAAGCACTTTTCCGCATTTGAAATTTCGGTAAATTTTGTGTGGTCACAGAGTATATAAATGTTAAAATTGACAATAGTGTGAAGTTGACATTATTGTCCTGTCAGCTTAATTAAAATGATTATTCATTTGCCAGGAAATTAGTTATGAAATGGCATGAAGTAAGAGATAAAGTGTCTGCCTTCAGGGCTCTTGTTTCCTTGTGAACAGGTGATAAAAAGGGCCCTATTACCTTTTTTACCTGCATAAGATGTCTTGCAATAGGTAGTCTGGGCTTCTGCATTCAAACTGGTTATTCAAGTGTTTGTGATACTGGTTTGGTGTGGTCAATACTTTAACAAAAATTCCTCCCCATACCCTTTCTTCTTTTAATAGCATCAGCAACAAGTGGCCCAAGCTGTAGAACGTGCCAAACAAGTGACCATGGCTGAACTGAATGCCATCATTGGGGTACGTGGCCTTCCAGGTCTACCTCCTGCAGTGTGTATAACTTGCTTTCATATCTTACGGCTTTGCTGTTTTTAAAATAAACCTAATGTCTTCATATCTAACACTGTTTTGATGTCCAGTGTTGCTGCAGTGTTTATGCTTCGCACAGATTTTAGCAGGAGTAAAAAAAAAAAATAGTTTACTTTGTCAGAACATCATTTTGTTCAGCAATGCTGCATGTAACAAAACTTTTCCTTCAAGAAATATAATTATTAGGAGAGTTACTAATTTATTTATAGGTTTTGAATGTCAGTTGATCTAGTTACTTTTACCTCTTGCTTTTTGTGACACTTGAGTTCTTGGAGCCTGTACAACTATTCATTCTTCTTTTTTTCCCTTTCTTGTGAATCTTTCATGAATTTTAAATTAGCAAGCTACTGAATAGAAACTTCACTTGCTTTTGAAGTAGTATTAATTGTCTGACACAGTGTTCTAATAGCCTTTCACCAAGAATGTGCTTTTAAATATGCTAAAAAATTTAATACTACTTGCTTGTGACTGGTTGTCAATCACAAGTCATTGGCTTTGTATTAATGAACTTTTTGAACCATACATTCCTTCCACTGTATGAGTTCATTTCCCCTGCCATTAAGTGTAGAATATTTCTCATGTTTTGTGCCCTTCCAGACTAAAAGAAAGAAGTAGCCGAAACAAGAACCTGTCCTTTCTGATTTTATTCATAAAATTCATCTGCCTTGAGCGGATTCAAATTACTCATTTATCAATTTATGTTAATTGCTTGTGAAAAGATGCCCTGCTGGTCTTTATAGTTCCCTCAGACACTTTGTAATGATAATTAGACATGCTGCTGTATGGATTAATAGTGCCATAGTCCAATGACGTCTACAGACAATGGAACCGGTTAATCCATCTGTGCTTAAAATTACATCCCAACTGGAGATGGAAAAAAAAAATAGGAGTGAGGGAGGATTAAAAGAATGAGCTTCAGCTTGAAAACGCTCCTTTCATCAGTTTCTCAATTGCAGATCTGCAGTCGGTTTGCCTGTGGTAAGGTATTGGCAGTCAATTAGGTGAAATAAACTGGGAGGGTGACCTTCATTTCCTTTTAATAGCTTTTCCTCCCTGAAATGGGGAGCTTCAGTGGATTTTCAGCTTAAATTTTATTCAAGCTGCTTTATTACACTTGACAGATTATCTTTGCATAAACATAACCCCCCTTCAAATCTGTGCTGTTTTTCCTTCATATCAAATTTTGACTGTTACTTAGTTGATTTGCTAATCATATCTTAGAAACCCAACACAATTACATCTGTATTTGTCAGACTCTCCTCTACTCTTTGCTTGTGTAATACTTTATGAATACTTGATTTGATCTTTGAAGTACAGCACATGTACACTTGTAGTATTTGATTAACAAAGGTTGAACTGTACTTTCTTTTATTTTTAAAACAAATGACTTGTTTAGGATGAAAATGGAATGGAAACCCTTCTTAATGAATGAGTTCTAAAGAAGAGTTTATGCAGTAAAAGGAAATATGTATCAAAATGTATTTAAAAACATTCTTGCTCCACTTAGGATAGTGCTACTTAGACAAACCAAGTTTTGCTCTCTCAGGCATGTCATGCATGTCTGCATGACATAGTCTTTTAAAAGCCATAGAATCTACAAGTATCACATGCAATTAATTTTTTTTTTTGAGAGTGGAGGGACATTCTTTGGAAGCAGGAATAGAAGTCTCCACCTTTTTTGGTTTTTAATTATCTAATATTTCACCTGAAGAGATACTTTCCTGTGTCTTATGAAAGACTTCCAAATGATACAATACAAATCCAAAACTGTGAATGAGGAAATTAACACATTGGGCACAAAGTTTGTTTCACCATGTAGATACGCGAGTATACATAATGCTAAAATTAGATGTACATCCCAGTGATCTTTTGCAGTCTTATTAATCAATAGTTATCTTGTGCTGCACAATAAGTTTCATGCTCTGACATATGCTTGGTTTTCTTTGAAAGGGATGGTGTGTATCCTGGAAAATCTGAATAGCATAAAATCAGGTTGACAATTCAGTGGACCTTTGCTCCCCCTCACTGAGTACTAAGGGTGTCAAGCCCTTTCCCCAGAGGGGAGGACACATCAGAAGCTTGTCTGTTCCTACAAGCAGCAGCTGCCATGAGGCTGAGCATGGCACAGTTTGATAGCAGCTGTCAGTATTGTTCAGGGACCCAACTTAGTGTAAAGAACTGTGGAAGGGCCATGCTGCCAAGCCTTTCAAGATGAGAAAAGATACAGTAATTTAACAGTTTAGATACTTATTATGAAGATGAAAGATCATGAAACTTCTTTTTAGAATGCAAATAGGCTAGACCAATCCGTAACAGTAGAGGAAGCAATTGAGTAGCCTCTGGTGTCATGCTACAGAGGATACTTACATAAGATAAATTTTGAGGATAGAAGGAAAGTTTTTAATTTTCCTAGCTTGTGTTCACTTATATAGTTCTCTTGACTAAATAAAATTCTGCATTTTTGTCAGGATTTGGCTTTTTCCCGTCCTCTTTCCTTTCTGTCCGTATAGGCCAGTATTTCCTGACACTAGATAATTCAAGAGTTTTGCAAGTGGGTTACTTGAGTTAGAGCAATTTTGTTTCTGCTGTGCTGTGTGTGAATTTTGGAAGGGAACAAAGACTTTAATTACTGGGAATAATGTTTTGAAATACAAAATGGTTTTGAACGATATTTATTTTTATTTTTTTTATTTCCAGTTAAAAAGATGGAGGCCTATTAGAGGACAGATTGTGAGGGTAGAGACTTACAGTCTCACAAGACTGAGATTTTTCAGAGAATTTGCCTGCAAAGTCCAAAGCCAGACTTTGGAATTGGTGTATATTAAGCACATACAAAACAGAATGAATAAATTGACACCTTTAAAAAAGTGACAGAGTTGGACTCAGTGAGCTTGCAAGCAGGAAAAAAACATGGATGATATTGGATTATTAAGAGTCGTATCACTGGCCTGCATGGATAAGTATAAGGCTTTAGCTTTCAACCGTGGGGTAGCAGTGTGGCTAAGCAACCTCCTTTTCAGTTTTTTAAAATGGCATTTATATTAGAATAAAGTAGCAATTTCACTAGATAAATAATAAAGCAGAAACCTTTGACTAAAAAGATAAGTGCACCCATTAACTAAATCCTTGGCATTGCTGCAGCTGGGCAATGTCCTCTTCTGGGGTTAAGGAAAAATCCAGATCATGGTATGAAATAATTAGGTAGATTATTATGGTTTAACTTGAAAGGATTTTTTGGTTCCTTTGTGGGTGTTTTTTTTCTTGTGTGTTTGGTTTTGGTTTTTTTTGAGGGGTGCCTTGTTTTCTTGAGATAGGCTCTGTCTAGAAGATCACAAGTACTCTGTGTTAGCAGCTATAAGGGAAAGTTAAATTGGTATGTCTAGGTGTGAATGCAGAATTTATTAGACTTACTTTCTACTCAATAAACTAGTTTAATTAGTAGAATATGCTAACATCTGAATGAGAAATGCAAGCAGCAAACTGAAAACTTTCTTTAGCATTGCATTTTTGATGCATGATTTTAGCATACCACTTATAAGCCAGATATGCCTTATTTTGTCTTTTGAGATGAGTTGTGATTCAGTGAAATATGTATCTTTTGGATTGGCAGTGCTCCTGAGACAGATTGAGTTGTTGTTGGCCTCTGAGAGGCCTCTCCACTGTTGCATGAGGCGGTTGGCTAAAGGATTAGCAAGATGTGGGATTTTTTTTTCTCTCTTGGCTGTGGTTGCCAGCTTTCTCTGGGATTGTAGTGTGTGAAGCTTAAGAGGATGAGGTTAACCTCTTGAGGGTTTATTCTTATGAGTGTGTAGTTAATCCTTAGAAAACCTATAAATAACTAGGCTGTGTGTTTCATTATAAAATAGAAATACAGACTAGAGCAGAAATTAATGCAGAACTTAGTGCAAGGGAAGAGCTAAGCAGCTGTAGCATTACTTTAGATCCTTCTCAGCCTTGATCTGCATTATGTGCTGAGGGAGGGGAAATTGCCTAGTTCTTTTAAATTAAAAAAAATGAGATCTAGTGAGCACAAGACACTCTCCTCACTTTTGACGTAAACTAACCACAAGTCTAAATTACTAAACTCTGGCAATAGGAGCTCTATTGCATGGTAACATCCTGGGTTATCCTTCATATTTTAAAACACATGGAAATCTTAACTGTATCCTAGGATTCTATCATGGTAGCTGCTTTTAGAATACAAAGGCTCCAAACTAAAGCAACTGAGGAATGTATTTGTCAGCATGACAGTCAGTATTCTCAAAATACCAATCCCCGAAAAATGCTCAGATTTCTATTGTTAGTGCCACTAAGTTTTGAGGGAAAATAAGAAAGCATTATTGATGTGTATTGGTAGCTTGACCTACTCAAAAGAGAAAACCTGAGAGGAGGTGTGTAAAATGTGAATGAACGAATAATGTTAACCAAACTTGTTCTCTACTTGACACATGCTCCTTACACACCACCAGCCCCCAACTCCCCCGTGCACTAGAGACTGATGGGGAAACAGAGAACCTTGGAGTAGCAATATAAAGGAGGGTAGTGTCTAAATGAGACAATATCCTGCAGAAGGTATTCTCAGTCATTCCGGAGAGGGCAAAATCACATCCAAAAGTTAAACAGAATTGAATTGCATGCCGGACCTCCCTTGTCTTGCAAGCTTTCCTGTGGGGTGGATAGAAAAGGCTGCATCTTGGATCTTGTACAAAAAGAAAACCAAAAGATCTTTAGGTGGCTCTCTCATTTAGATCTAGTGTCTAAGCTTCAAGTCAAAGGTGAATCCAAGTATATGGTTACAAATTTCTGAAGCTTAACAGCTTTCAGGAAAGGAGCGAGAGGATGATGGTTGGACAGAAGTTCAGTTAGCTAGAGCTTAAATCTGAAGATATGCAGCTACAACTGCGAATGCAGAAAGAAGGTAGGTTCTGAAGAGATAGCAGGTGATGTACCAGCCGTGAGCT